TATGTGGGCCCCAGGCAGTATGGAGGTGTCGCTGGATTAGGGGTCGATCTCGGTGGGCTGGAGGTTCGTCTGTTCCAACAGTTGGCCAAGGCTCGCAAGCTATCAGCTCTGTTCATCCCCCTCGATGCTGCGCAGGCATTTTATAAAGCAGTGCGTGAACTGGTTTTTTTCGGACGTCAGGTTCGGAGGAGGCGCTGGCGAGTATTTTACAGCAGGCTGGACTTCCACCCGAGGCTCGCGCTGAGCTCGCAGAGCATATTCAGCAGCAGGGCCCCATTTTTAGCGACGCCCCAGGTATCAGCAGCCGCGTGCACGCCCAAGTTTCTGATTCATACGATCAGAGTTGGTATATACTCCCAGGCAGTACCGAGTTCGCGTTTCCACAACTGGGGACGGGGCCAGGACAACAGCTGGGGGACGTGGTTTTCAACTATGTTATGGGCGCCATCATGAAAATCGTGCAGGCCCGTATTCTTGAATACGGCATCGATGTTCGTTTCCCGGTGAGTGATCTCCGTTCCCTGGGGCCAGACGTGGAGGATGAAGCTGCGTACATGGGTCATTATATGGATCTTTCTTTTTTCGACGATGCTACGTTTATGTTCCCCGGGAAAGCACAGACCCTTCTCAGGTTCGCTCCCTTCGTTGCAGCCACCATCGTTGATACCTTTGCAGAAAGGGGCATGAGGCTGCACACGGCTAAGGAGAAGAGTGCGTTGTTATTTCAGTTTCGAGGAGTAGGTTCGGTCAAGGCCAAGTCTGATCTCTGGAGAACAGCCCAAGGTAAGATTTTGGTTCCCACCCGACATCTGGGAGATATTACGCTGCACGCGGTCCGCCAGTATACTCACCTGGGTGCTGTTCTGGACGAGGCGGGGGCCTTGGGCCCCGAGCTGGCCCACGGAAGTCATTCCTGCACGGCTTCTTGGAAAGTTTTACGGCGTGTTCTGCGGGATCCTCAATTAGATAAGAAGGTCGGCCGCATCCTCGTGGACTCTCTCACGTGCTCCAGCAGGCTTTTCAACGCTGGCACGTGGCCTGCACTTTCAGAAGCGCACTAGCGACCTTGTCAGACGAGGTCGTTCGTATGCACCGCGCGGTGTTCCACAGGCCAAGGAAGGACCAAACAGCCATTCCGAACTCCCACATCCTTGCCCAAGCTAAGAGACCAGACGCCAATACGGCGATTCGTGCCCATAGGCTGAGATTGTTTGGAAGGCTTCTGCATGCTGGCCCCAGTCACCTGGTGGGGCTTACCAGGCTTTGTCTGGAGGAAGGGCGGGGGACTTGGATGCATCAGGTTTTGGAAGATCTGGAGTTGTTGCGACACCGTCATCACCGATTGCGCAAGTACACCCCGCCCGCGGACAACTTACCCGTATGGGAAGCCCTGGTCCGAAAATTTGCTTTGGGTTGGAAGACTATCGTTTCTGCGGGAGTGGCTTCTCAGGTTGCTTACGACTCCCGCATTGCAGAAGCTGATAAGGCCGAACGGGATATCTTTCAGGACCTCTACGAATCAGGAGCACCCGAGCCGGTGGACCACCCAGAGCCCCCGCTGCGTGTGCAGGAGGCAGAGGAGGCTCCCAGATTTTCTTGTATGTGGTGCTCGGCTATCTCGCCTTCCCCCACTGGCCTTAAGCAACACATCGTTCGCCAACATCGGTCCTTCATCGATCAGGTTCGCTCGATGCTCGGACCGACTTCGCGGTGTTCTATGTGTAAAATGAAGTTCGCCAGTCGGCGAGCGTTATCAGAACACCTGGCCTTCGACGCTCCTCGGTGCGCGGTCGCTCTTCTTGCCCAACCTCGTTCTACGTCGGCGGGGGAACGTGCTCGGCTCAACGAAGAGGACGCCGAGGCGGCATCAAGGCAGCGTGCAGCAGGAAAAGGACGTTGGCGCCCTGAATTCCCTGCCTTCCGTCAGCCAGGACCATCGACCCCCTTCGAGCTCGAGCTGGCTACCATGTCTGAGGAGGATGCGCGTGAGGCCCTGATCGAGTCCGATTTTGCGTTCGCTCCTGAGGCCGCCCAGGAGTACATCAGTTTGTCTAGGCCTAGGCCCAAGGCGGCCCCCCTGCCGCTGGATGCTAGGTTCTGGCCCTTTCGGCCTCAGGACTTCTCTGGGATCGCGGCCACTGAGCTGCCATTTCGAATTAAAAGGCCCGAGTTTTTCGTCTTAAACTTGTTCTCGGGCATGAGGCGTACAGGAGACATTCAGTGGCATCTTGAATTCGAGTGGCCAGCTTCGACGTGCGCTGTTTACTGTGTGTCGATCGATGTCGCGATCGATGCGAGGAGAGGCGACCTCACCCAGCACGATGTCATAGAGGAGTGGGTAGGCCATGTTGCTGCCCGCAGAGTTTTGAACACAGGGGGGGGGGCCCTGCGAGACTTGGAGCGCGGCTAGGTGGTATGACGGAGGCCCCCCCCCCCTTCACGCACGAATGAGCATTTCTGGGGCGTCCCATGGTGTACGGTTCGCCAGAGCCTCCAGCTTTCAATAGGGGCCCAACTTTTAGCTGCGTTAGATCGCCTCCTCGCCGCGCACATGAAGGCTGGCACCAGCGGTTGGATGGAGCATCCGCTTCCCCCGACTTCTTTCAGATGGAAGCCCCTCGTTGCCATCGCTTCAGCTCCCCATGCTTGTGCTGTTGATTTTGACCAATGCGAGCACATGCCGCCAGAAACTGACTGGACTTCTGTTGGGCGTGCCCCCACCCGACTTATCGGCCTCCGTCTCCCCTCCCTCCGCTCCCACCTCCTCGCCACCCCTGGTGGTGGAAAGTGCTCCCACGGCAGAGGAGTGCACAGCACGCTCCTGGGCAAAAGGGAGAATGGTGATTTCAGGACGGCTGCTAAGAAGACGTACTCTAGCGGGTTGTCCAAGGCGATTGCTTCGGCCGTTATAGACAGCCTTTTCCGCTCTCGTAGTGCCACAAGAGTCGCTTGAGGAGGCTGATTCCAGTTTTGGAGCCGACCCTGAGGAGCTGAGAGCTGGATTAATGGCTTTCTATGTTCCCTGGTCGAAAGATTTGGACTCCAGATTTTGTGCCGCTCCCGACTTCGCTCGTCGATCTGGTCGTCGTCGTGTCGATCCTGAGTTGGAGCGTTTCGGGCTTGAGCCTTCCCAGAGGAATTCTGATCCCTCGATCGCCACCTCGGGTGAGTCCCCAGCCCCAGGGCCGGATGAGCAACAGACTGATCCGTGGGAGGAGGACCCCGAGCATGAGGCTGTCGAGGAACAAATGCACATTGACCTTATGTGTGCTGAGGCAGTGAATTTTACTGCCATGTCTGGGCTTTCCCTTTCTTCTCCTCCTCCTCCTCTTCCCCCCCCCCCTCACCGAGGAGCAGCTCGAGCGTATTCGAGCGAATCGAGAGCAGGCGCGCGAGCGCAGGCAGGCCAGGCTTCGGGCCGCCCACGCCGCCCGCGCGCCGTGGGCCGCTCAAGGCGGTGTACTACGAGGCGGGATCTTCTCTTCCGCCTCCACCTCCCACCCTCCTGGGGTCCTTGGGTGGGAGTCAGATTTGCCTTTTTAGGCTCTGTCCGTGGTTTCAGTGGCGTAGCTTTAGATTCCTCTTTGGTCTCGTGTGCTGCTGCTGCTGTTGCCTGGCAAAGAGTCACGGAGTGCGCACGCGCGAAGCCCCTCGGCTAACAACAACCCCCTCCCCCCTCTTTTCACGGCCCCAAGGCCCAGCAAGAGGCCACAGAGGCGGAGAATGGAAAGGAAACCTTCCGCCGTGACTATCCCACGACGAGAGGGGGGGGGGGCACTCTGCGAAATGCTTAAGGAATCATGGGTTCAGAAATTCAGAGTCTCAGAATTTGAACGAAAACCTACAATTCCCATTAAAATCTTAGGATTTACATTGAAACTGAAACATTAAGAATAATCGAGACTCTGGGCCTTCTCAGAAGGGTCCACAAGAGGCCTCCGGCCTCCCGACAAGCTGCGCAGGCCTTCTCCGAGGCCACGGAAGGATTCCCCAGAAGGCATGCGGGCTTCTCGAAGCCCCGCCGCCTCCGGAGAAGCCCTGCCCTTCTCACTCGAAGAGGCACAGACTCGGCGACTCCGAAGGGTGTGGTTTGCAAAGGGTGCGGTTTGCAATCGGCACCCTGGGGGGCACCATGGGGGTCGTGCGGGTAGCTCGATAGAGTTCTCCGCCGCGCCCCAACGAGGCCCGACGCGGACACTATCGTGCCCTCCAGGCCCCCACGGCGCCGATCGAAAACCGCACCCCGGCGTAGCCACACCCTTCGTAGTCGCCGAAAGATGGTGGAGGACTCAGGTGAGGGAACCTAATATCGACCTGCAACTGGCGATACATCGCCGATAGATCGGCAGTCGGCCCTCGATAGCGAAACCGCCCGTTCCTGGGCGGGGTAGGCCATCGGGCCCCTACCAGCGATCATTGGACCATCGGGGGTCGATACATACCCCCGCCAGAGCCCGTCCCCCCCCCCCACACGATGCCCGACAGCAAACGTTGTCCAAAACCGGCAGCGGCCGCTGTTGAGCGGGGGTCCCTTCGCCTCACATGGACAGACAAAGCCCGGGGCGACACCGCCAGCGAAGCATGGTCAAAACAGACAGCAGCGGCTGTCGGTCTTCGCCCCCTTTTTTCCGTACGGCATGTCCGTGTCGTGGCGACCATGGCGCCATGGCGTTGACATCTGACACAGCGACGATCGCTCAACCTCTACAGTAATTAGGGGCCCGACCACAAAAAACCTCCCACAAGAAACCCAACCCTGAGATCCCGGGGTGTCCACTCATTTCTGGCGCGGGAACGCCACGCCGTCCGTAGCAGAGCCATCGAAACACAAGAAGCCCAGGGGCACCCTGGAGGCGAGCAGGCTGTTTCTCGGCATGGGCGCCCCTCTGCAACGATCGCCGGCTTTCCGCACGACTGCCGTCCGCCCCAGGCGCGCGCGGCGGCGGGCGGCGGCGGGCGGCGGGCGGCGGGCCGCAGCCAGCCCCTGGCCCCCGGGGGGCCTCCCGGTGCAGCCGGCGGGCCTCCTCGGAGAAGCGCGCGGCGAGGCGCGCCCTCGCCTGCGCGCGCAGGCCGGGGAGCGTCGGCCTGCCGCCGCCGCCGCCGCCGCCCCCCCCCCCGAGCGGCCCCAGCATGGCGCCAACGAGGGCGCCCAGGACGTCTCCAGAGCACGGCCCAGCACGGCTCCCCAAGGAGGCGTCGGGCCCCCAGCGGCCCCAGCACGGCCCAAACGAGGGCGCCCAAGACGGCCCCAAGGCACTGCCCCAACAAAATGCCCGAGGCGGCCCGAGGAGGCTCCCGGAGGCCGCTTCCGAGGGCGGCCCGCGAGCGCCCCACGGCCCCAAGAGGTCCCAAGGTTGGCCCGCGAGGGGCCGCCGTCGCCGCTGGCTTCCAATTCCTGCAATTCCTCTCCTCCTCCTGCCTCCTGCTGCAAGTCTTGTTCCTCCTCCTCCTCCTCTTCCTTCTCCTCCTCCTCCTCCTCCTCCTCCTCCGCCTCCTCCGCCTCCTCCGCCTCCTCCGCCTCCTCCGCCTCCTCCTCCTCCTCCTCCTCCTCCTCCTCCTCCTCGTAGTCCTCCTCCTCCTCCTCCTCCTCCTCCTCCTCCTCCCTCCTCCTCCTCCGCCTCCGCCTCCGCCTCCGCTCCTCCTCCTCCTCCTCGTAGTCCTCCTCCTCGCAGTCCTCCTCTCCTCCTCCTCCTCCTCCTTCTCCTCCTCCGCCTCCGCCTCCGCCTCCGCCTCCGCCTCCGCCTCCTCCTCCTCCTCCTCCTCCTCCTCCTCCTCCTCCTCCTCCCTCCTCCTCCTCTCCTCCTCCCCTCCCTCCCTCCCCCTCCCCCCCTCCCCCTCCTCCGCCCTCCTCCTCCTCCTCCCCCTCCTCCTCGTAGTCCTCCTCCTCCTCCTCCTCCTCCTCCGCCTCCTCCTCCTCCTCCTCCTCCTCCTCCTCCTCCTCCTCCTCATGTTCCGACTCAGTCTTCCTCCTCCTCCTCCTCTTCCTCTTCCGCCTCCTCCTCCTTATCATCCTCCTCCTTTTCTGACTCATCCTCCTGATGTTCCTCCTCCTCCTGCTTCCGCTCCCGTTCCTGCCCCTGCCGCTCCTGCTCAAGCTCCTCCTGTTCATCCTCCACCCGCCGCCGTCGCCGTTGACGTCGTCGTCGATCGAGGGCCGATGACCAGAGTGGCGGCTGTTGCGGGGGGTGGGGGGGGGCAAAATCTCCCCGAAGCGCCTACCGTGGCGACGTGATGGCAATGATGAGACGATGCTGGTGATGGTAATGATGTTACTGAGAATGATGATGGTGATGCGGATGATGGCATCGGTGACATGTTGATTACGAGCGTGATGGTGTTGATAAAACGATGATAGAAATGGGACCGTGTTTCTGAATTGATGGCTGCATTAATCGTAACTAAGTCGTGGCCTGGGTGATCGGTAGATAGGATGTACTACGTCTTAGGCAGCAGGTAGTCGGTATAACGTAATGTAAAGTAGGTCACCGTAGTAGAAGTAATGCTCGTGGTCGTAGAAACAATCGTATCGGTAGTAAGTAGTTGATAGAAACTAGTAAGTAACCGTAGTAGGTAATCGGTAGAAGGTGATAGAAGGTGGGTGACGAGCAGGAAGCCGTAGATGGTAACCCGTACGGCGTATGTAGTACGTCGTAAGTAGCAGGTTGTTAACGGCACGCTGTAGATCATCGGGCGTCGTGTCCAGGCACAAGGTAGATGCAATCGGTATTAGGTGGGGAATCGTATGGGGTGTTTTGTAGGCTACTGGGTCGACAAGTCGTCGGTGAATGCGGACATTTGCAGGTCGGCAGGTAAGTGTAAGTATTAAATGTGTGGTGGCCCGTTGTCCTGCATGTTACTTGCGTGCTCCGTTCCAATATGGTTCGCCCTGTGATGCAAGGTGCATGTGTCATTCGAGGAAAAAAGGCACACACACACACACACCCCTGGCGCGCACACACACAGAAACAAAACAAGCATACACACAGACACACACACACACACACACGCACACACACACACACGCGCATACACACACAGACACACACACACACACGCCTTTAAGCTGGCGGCGCAGAGGAACCTCTGGCGCAGTCGGCAGGTGGAGGTGCGAATTGTGAACCAACTTAGTCGAAAGTGCCATGATGCAAACACTCAACAATGGGCGTGCAGATCGGTTGTCAAAAAGGAGGCACTGCAAGGCCAACCTGCAGCGTCCAATCATCCCGCGGAGCCTGATTCAGCCTGATGATTGGCCGTTGCGCTCTGGCCATGCAATGCCTCCTTGCGCGCACACACGCAAGCACTCACGCACGAACGCATGCACACACACACACACGCGCACACACACACACACAGACACACCCACACACACACACACACGTACACACACACACACACACACACACACACACACACACACACACGCATACACGTATGGCGCTCTCGCCCAAGATGGTGCCAAGAAAACCACTGGGCCGAAGGGGCCCGAGAAAGGGCCCAGGAGGCTTCCAAGACGGCCCCGGGGACGCGGGAGGGGCGGGGGGGGGGGGCAGGACGGTCGGAGCCCACTAGTTCCGCGGCCTCTGAGTCTTTCGGGCCTCCCAGGTGCCCGCGCGATCGCCGCCAGAGACGGAGGAAAAAAACGACCATGACGACGATGACGACGATGATGATGAGGACGACGACGACGACGACGACGACGACGAAGACGACCCGCGCTGGAGCATGCCCCAGCAGGACCTGCCCCTGCACAGCGGCGGCGATGGACGACGACGTACGGCGACGTCAGGACCTCGACTGAGCGGTCCGGGCCGGCAGGCGCAGCTCCACACACCCAGGGCCGCCCCCGAGATGGCTCCGAGACGCCCAGACCTGCACCACGGCATGGGAAGTTCTAGCCGACCGCAGAGCGGTAGCTCCGCGGCGCCACCCGCTGGGTGAGGGGCAGGAGATCCTCACGCGCTCGCCGCCTGGCTCTCCCCCGCACCTCGGGCGAAGAGAGCCATGCACATGCACCGGTCTTGGCCAGGCCCATCCTGGCCCCAGCATCGGTGCATATGCCTTCCTGGCAGGGGCAGGAGAGCGCATGCACCGATGCTGGGCCCAGGCAGGGCCTGGCCAGAATCGGTGCATGTGCATATTTCTCTTTCCGCTCGCACCCCCCTGCAGGGCCAAGAACACCCAGCGAGGATCCACTCGCACTGCCAGGGAAAAAAAAAAGCAAACCAAACACATGGCGGCGGGAGCCGGGAGCGGCGGCCACCGAGGCGGAGCCCACACATCGAGCCGTGCTGCCACGACGCACCAGGCCGGCCCGCTCCCTCTCTCTTGGCATCTCAAAGAGGGGGCCCTGAGGCATGGGGCCCCGAGGACAGGATGAGATCCAAGGTTGAACTTGCACTGCTTGAGGCCCCTCGTCCTCGAGGGCCCCATCCTTCCGAGGGCCCCATCCTTGAATCCCAGGCTCCCGCCCCAGACCCGGTCACCCTCTCCGTCGTCGACCCTCCGACGTCGTGGCCCCAGGAGCTCTGGACTCTGTCCAGTTTTGCTTGTCTTGTCTCGTCTCCCGAGAGGGGCTCGATGTATGCACCACGTCGTTTGGTAGGCCAAGGAGCTCGGAATCTATCTATCTATATATATATATATATAGATACACACACATACATATCTATACATATATATATATATATATATAGGGACGCCACAGCTGCCAAACCTGTGGGATAATAGAACTTCTGTGCATCGACTTCCTCCGCCCCACTCGTTCGACCCCTGGCCGACCAAACAACGTGGCGTATACGTCGAGCCCCTCGGATGTCTGCCACGAGGGAGAGGAGGATGAGGAGGAGGAGGAGGAGGAGGAGGAGGAGGAGGATGGGGAGGAGGAGGTGAAGGAGGAGGAGGAGGAGGAGGAGGAGCAAGACATCGCAATCTCCTCCCGAGAGATCAAGGGCTCCCAACTTCGCGCTCTCGCGCCGCCTCCCAGGGAAGAAGAGGAGGAGGAATCGGAGCCGAACCGCGAAGCGCGGATAACTACGCGCCCTCGAGGGCGCCCTTGGAGCTCTGGCCCGATGCGCTGAAGCGTCGCAGTCTCCTCCCAAGAGATCCAGCGCACTGTCTCCCAACCATCCTGTGGCGCTGGGTCCAGCGCCCCGCGTGCCTCTCCTCTCATCCTCCTCTCCTCTCCTCTCCCTCGTGCCTCTCCTCTCCTCTCCCTCCCCTCCACTCCTCGCCTTCCGCTCCTCTGCACTCCGCAAGTCGGCGTCACCCCCGGATCGGCACACCCCACGTTCCGCGGCCTCATAAGGAGCTCCACCGAAGGTCCCCAAGGCGCAATTCGCATGTGGGCGTCACGCCCGTTTCGGCACCCCCCTCACATGCTTCGCGGCCTCATAAGAGCTCCAGCGAAAGTCCCAGCGGCGCAGTTCGCATACGGGCGTCAGGCCCGATTCGGCACCCCTCCTCACACTTTTCTTGGCTCAGTAGGGAGCTTCACCGCAGGTCCCAAAGGCGCAGTTCGCATGTGGGCGTCACGCCCGTTTCGGCACACTCCTCACACGCTTCGTGGCCTCATAGGGAGCTCCACAGAAAACCCCAGCGGCGAAGTTCGCATGTGGGCGTCACGCCCGTTTCGGCAGACCCCTTACATTTGTCGTGGCCACGCAGGCAACACCACCGACGGTCCTAGTGCTGCAGTTCGCATGTGGGCGTCGCACCCGTTTCAGCACACCCCTCACACGATTCGTGGCCTCATAAGGAGCTCCACCGAAGGTCCCAAAGGCGCAGTTCGCATGTGGGCGTCACGCCCGTTTTTGGCATCCCCTCTTCTCACCCGTTACGTTGCCCTTGGGCAGCTCCACTGGAGGGTTCACATGCCCCCCCCATCGCCAAATCGGCACGCCTCTCACACGTTTTTTGTGGCCCCATAGGAAGACGATCCTCACAACGGCGGCACTCACAACTGCATACGGTTGGACCCTTCACCAGGCTAATTTGTTTTTTTCAGAGCGGGGTCCCAGGGCTGGCTGTTCATCGGGATCAGTTTCTGTTGGCGGTCCTGGGGCTCAGCGAGGGCACCCCCGAATCTAAAAACGGCGAAAAGCGTTCCTCATGCTCTCATGTGGTCTCCGGAGGTCTCCGAGGAGGTCCCTCCGGATATCCCGGGAGGTCTCACAAGCTCCCTGGAGGTCTCACGAGGTCCCAAGGGGTTTCCGCCGGCCCCAGAAACCCCCATGAAGGCCAAGGGGGGCCGCCTCCCGACCGTGTGGTCCTTCCGTCTTCCTGCTTCCGTCATGTCCATCTTTCTTTCGCAAAGCCTGTAGAAGACAAGCTGCGCTGGCCGACTTCCTTCCGTGCTGCTGGCCCTGACTATCCACGGCATCCTTCCACGTCGTCCTTCTGCCCTGCCTCTACACGCGGCCACATCATCCTCCCTCCTCCCTCCTCCCCCCCTCTTTCCCCATGCTCCTCCTCCTCCTCCTCCTCCTCCTCCTCCAATTCCCGCTATGCCGCATGCGCCAGACCGCGCGAAGTTGATCCGCAAGCTGGAACCTAACGATCCCTCCCTCCTTCTCTCTCCTCCGCCGTTTCTCTCCCCGCCGTCCTCCCTCGCCCGCCGTCGAAGAGAGGTGGCAGGCTCTTTTCTCCGCAGGGGCGGCCAGGAATCTAAGCTGGTCTGAACTGTGTGCCTTTAGCCCACAGTAGTACACATGGCCGCCCTGTGGGGTGAGTGCTCTGCCGAAATGAAGAAAGGAAGATCGGCGGAGGTCTCCCGTCTGAAGATCCACGGGGGTCCCGTATGCCACGGGGGTCCCAGCATGTCCCTGGAGGTCCCAGGACCACTGGAAACCTCCCCCCCAATTGTCTAGAAACCTCGATCCCCCGGCTCCTCCTCCAACTCCTCCCCCCTCCTCACCCTGCCTCCTCCCGAATGACTGAAAGCCTGATGGTGTGAAGATCCCACGCACGTGAGCATCCTGCCTGCTCCTCCTCCTTCTCCTCCTCCTCCTCCTCCTCCTCCAACTCCTCCTCCTCCTCCTCCAACTCTTCCCTCTCCTCCTGCTCCTGCTCCTGCTCCTCCTCCGCCTCCTCGTCCTCCTCCTCATCCTCCTCCTCTTCCTCCTCCTCCTCCTCCTCCTCCTTTCGTCCTCCACAACCTCCCCTCCTCCCCCTCATGCCCTCCTTCTCCTCCTCCTCATCCTCGTCCTCCTCCTCCTCCTCCTCCTCCTCTTCCTCCTCCTCCTCCAGCTCCTCATCCTCCTCCTTTCGTCCTCCACAACCTCCCCTCCTCCTCCTCCTCTTCCTCCTCCTCGTCCTCCTCCTCCTCCTCCTCCTCCTCCTCATCATCATCATCATCATCATCATCATCAGCATCGTCGTCATTATCATCATCATCATAATGATCATCATCATCATCATCATCATCATCACCATCACCACCACCACCATCATCATCATCATCGTCATCATCAACATCATCATTATCCTCCTCCTCCTCCACCACCTCCACCTCCACCTCCACCTCCTCCGCTTCATCGTCCTCCCCCCTGCTGCCCTCCTCCAACTCCTCCTCCCCCTCCTCTTCCTCCCCTTCATCCTCCTCCTCCTCATCCACATCCTCATCCTCATCCTCCTCCTCCTCATCATCATCATCAGCAGCATCAGCAGCATCAGCATCAGTATCATCATCATAATCAGCATCATCACAATCATCATCAGCAGCGTCAGCACAATCATCATTGTCATCATCATCAGCATCATAATCATCGTAATCCTTTCCATCATGCCCCATCCTCCTCCTCCTGGTTTATCGTCCTCCTCATGATCATGAGCATGATCTGGTCATGATCAACATGATCATGTTCATGACCAGCATCATCATCATCATCATCATCATCATCATCATCACTATCATCCCCATCATCAGCATCAGCATCAGCATCGTCATCATCAGCAGACTCATTATGATCATGACATGATCATGATCATCATCATCATCATCATCAGCATCATGATCATCAGTATATCACCAGCACCATCACCATCACCATCACCATCACCAGCAGCATCACCATCACCATCACCATCACCATCACCATCACCATCACCATCACCATCACCATCACCATCACCATCACCATCATCATCATCATCATCATCATCATCATCACCATCACCATCATCATCATCATCATCATCATCATCATCATCATCATCATCATCATCATTATCATCATCATCCGCCTCCCCCCTCGCTTCTCCCCTCCTCTTGCCTCCTCCTCCTCATCCTGCCCTGCACTGCCTCCCTCTCTCTCCTTCCCGCTCGGGCTGCGCTCCACTGATGATGACGATGGACGATACTGGGGATGTGGAGCTGGAGCAACAGGACGACGAATAGAATGATGAATGATGGATTCGCAGTGAGTTGTGATGGCTACATGACAAGAAGAGGAGGAGCAACACTGAGGAGCAACTTTACGAGTACGACACATAGGAACAGGGATAGTTATTTATAGATATACATACATGTAGAGAGAGATAGAGAACAAACAGAAAGACAAACATACGCGTGTATACATATGTATGCATATACACATATGTGTATCTAGATGTGTGTATGTATATGAATATCGGCGACGCGAGGTGGCACCAAATCCCTTCCCCACCTTCCCGGAGCTCCCCAGGGTTTCGTACCAGGCGCACCGGGTGCCGCCGACGTCCCGACCCCCCCTCTCCCCCCTTCCCAGGGGGTGTCGTACCGGGCGCACCGGCGGCCCCCGCCGTTTTCGCACGGGGCGCACCGGCGAGCCCACCCGGCGGGGGTTCTGTGGGAGCGGGGGGGGGCTCTGCGAAGCGGGGGGGCCTCCGAAGGCCTCCAGAGATCTCTTCTGGGTCTGCGTCGTCGTCGTCGCCGCCTTCGCCTTCGCCTTCAGCGCAGCTGTCGTAAAGCGCCCCCCGCCGCGCTCCCAGGAATCCCAGTCGCTCGCACGCGCTACCCGTGAGCTTCCACATGAACGCTCCCGGACTCTCACAGCCTGGGCGCCGCACGGGCGGCGCGTCCCGGGGGGCTCCGTGCATCCCCCAGGAGGTTTCTGCCCAGCCCGCGCTGGCGATGCCAGCGGCGCTTCCCAGGAGGGGCTGCGCATCCCGAGGGGGGGGGGTCGCTCCGCACACGGCATATGCGTACATACATATACACGTGTCTATACAATTCCATGTACATTTGCATATACATATACTGATACAGATACAGATACCTATACAAAGACATATACGTATACATGTACGTATACATATACATACACATCTATATACATACACACAAACATATACCTATGCATATAAATAAACATAAACATGTACATACACATACACGTATAAACATACGCAGACATGTACATACACATACACCTACACATAATAATACGCATATACATGTACCTATACATACATATGCAACTACATGTGCATGCAAATGTGCATATACACGTACAAACATACGTACACACATATGTATATACACCTGTACATGCATCCAGACATACATACATGCATGCACACATACATACATACGTAAATACATCACACACCACACCTTGTATGACCTTGCAATACATCACATCACATTACATCGCATCACATCGCATTCGGTTACATTGCATTCATTACCGAGATGAAGTACATGAACACATACATGCATACATGCATACATTCACAACTGCATACATGCAGACCTGCATGCATGCATGCATACATACAGGCATGCATACATGCGTTCATTCATACATGCAAACATGTATACATGCATCTGTGTATATACACATGCACGCATAAATGCATGCATGCACGCATACATACAAACATATATACATGCATACGTACTTGCATGCATGCAAACATGTATACATCTATCCATCTATCCATCCATCCATCCACACATCCGTCCATACATCCATCCATACATACATGCACACATACTCCTACATACATCATTGCATATATGCATACACGCGTACCCACGTACATACAATCATGAATCTACACATACGTGCATGCAATCATGCACGCACGCACACCTACATACATACACACACACATAAATACATACATACATACATACATACATACATACATACATACATACAATCACACTAATTCATGTATCCGTATATACGTATATACATATATATAGAGAGAGATACACACATGCACGCGTGCATACCTACCTGCATGCATGTATGCACACATACATGCATGCATGCAGTGTGTATACATACACATGCATACACGCAGATATGCGCTGACACAGAAAGAGAAAGAGAGGAGAGAGAGGGAGAGAACGAGAGGGAGATACACAGAGAGAGAAATTAAACACGAGAGAGAGAGAGAGACAGTGGGCGGGAGCGATGGACAAAGGGAGGGAAGGAGGAGGGATGTGATGCGGGGGAGGAGGAACTCCGAACTCGGATGTACTCGAAAGTCCGCCAGGGGCGGCACCGCTGGGGGTGTGCCAGGACGCGAAACCGCCCGCAGACCAGGAAGAGGAGGAGGAGGCAACAGGAGAAGGACGGAGCAGAGGACGAGGGACGGGTCGGGAAGCGTGGGCGGCGGCTCAAGAGCAGCACGGAGCAGGCTCGCAGCCCTCTGTGCTGGCGCCCGCCGCCGAGGTGAGAGAGACGAGTGCCGTGGCGCGGGCCGCCCGCGACGGAGGCCGCGGCGGGGCTACTCACGACTGCCGCTCCCCTGGCCAGGCAAATCACACACCAGCACCGATCCCCCTCCTCCTCCTCCTCCTCCTCCTCCTCCTCCTCGACTTCCTCCCCCTCCTCCTCTTCCTCCTCCTCCTCCTCCTCCACTTCCTCCTCCTCCTCCTCCCCTGAACCCCTGAGATCTTGGCGCTGCAATTCTTTCTACGCTGGGCGTTGTTTTCGCTCGATCTCGGGCCCCGGGGCCTTCCCAGATCGATGCGGCTCGACGAGTGAAGCAGACAGATGGGGTCCAGGGCTCGGGTCACGATCTGTCTGCGGTGCTGCATTTTTTGTTACAGCGCGGCAGATCTCTAGGACGGGCCCGGAACGTGGCAATTCAAGGGGCCCTGGGACACACAAATAGATACATACAAACAGCAGGATTCCCCATATTTTCTTATATGTTCTGGGTTTTTGTCTTCCCCCTCACTTCCCATATTTCCCTATATTTTCTGGGAATCGACGATCACTTGTGTCTGTGTTTTTTTTCCCTCTTGAGCAATTGCGCCCCCCTGGGGGCCGAAGATGGCCCCGACGAGCCCCACCACCGTAAGTCTTGCCACCGTGCCGGGATCGGGGGGTCCGAGCGAGGAGCGTCCACGAGGGGGGTCCGCAGATCATGCACCGAGGCACGCGCGCGGACGAAGGGGTGACCAAGAGACGTGTTGAAAGAAGAAAAGGTGGCCATGAGATCCGGGGAGATACCGTGGCCCCAGCCATGATATCCGCCCCCCCTTTGTCCTCCCGCCCCCCTCTTGGCCGGCCCCGAGGTCAGGGTCTCTCCCTTCCTCCGGGATCGGTCTGATGATCCTCAGAACGTTGGTTAGCGCCAACGTGTGCTTGCCCACCAGCATCCTTGAACGCGACGCGGGCGGCGCAACGAGGGACGAAACAGGCTGCGCGGTATCGGCAAAGCCGAGCTGGGGTAATCATACGCTCGGGCTACTGTCGGGCTGCTGAAATAAGGAACGCTGAATAAGGAACGAAATCCCTTTGTGGCACCAGAAGAGCGTGTGTGCACGAGGAGGGCCAGATGAACAGCCATGGAAGGACCTAAGAAATAGATCGAGCCCCTTTCGACGGACCCAAACCGTTCCTTCCTCCATCGTCTTGGCTGTAACACGTGTCCTGAGGACCATCGATCGGGGCAGGGAGGAGGAGGAGAGGGATGAGAAGGAGGAGGAGGGAGGGAGGAGGGGGAGGAGGAGGAGGAGGGTGGGGAGGAGGAGGGGGAGGAGAAGGAGGAGGGGGGGGTAGGAGGAGCAGCCCTGGCCTGGTCTCTCCACCAGGACGGCAGCTCCCCCGCGTAGATACCCCGCACGGCTCGCTCCCGCACCTGACCGCCGCGCCGCGCGGCTGGCGCGGGCCGCGGCGCGTGCGCACGGAAGCTCCTTCCTCCTCCTCTTCCTCCTTCCTCCTTCCTCCTCCTCTTCCTCCTCCGCTGCTTCCTCCTCCTCCTCCTCGCCCCAAGGCCTCCTCATTTCCTCCTCCGTTCCTTCGTTCCATCCTCAGCCTCTTCCTTACCTCCTCCTCCTCCTCCACCCGCCCCCCCTGCTGCACCTCCCCAGCCCCCGCTTCCTCTTCCTCGCCCCAAGCCCTCTTCTTCCTCCTCCTCCTCCTCCTCCTCCTCCTCCTCCTCCTCCTCCTCCTCCTCCTCCTCTCATCTCTCCCTCTTCCGCGCTTCTGTTGATCTGTTCGGGACTTGGTGTCTCTTATGCCGAGTGACCACCACCACCACCTCCCTCCCTCCCTCCCTCCGTCCGCCTCCTCCCTGCTCCGTCTCAAGACAGTTCACGGTGACAGCACAATAGAAAACTTGCCGAGCCGACAGCGAAATGGAAACCGACGGCAACCGACAGACCGCAAGCAGCAGAGAACTGCTCTCCGACGCCCAAGCGGCCCGAAAAGCCGGCCGTCAGGGGCAGAGAAGCCGAGCGATCTGATGACATCCTTGATTTGGTGTGTGTGTTCCATGGGAGCACAGGTGCCCCCCCGGCCCTGTCCGACTTGATCCTGATTTGGACCGGATACGGAACATGTCAGACCAGACTTGGGCCAGATTCGCCCGCTCCCACAGGGGAGACGAGAAGAGCGAGGGGTGAGAGGAGGAACAGGAAGGAAGGCGAGGAGGAGCACGAGGAAGAGCCCAATGCGGTCCAAATACAGGAGAAGCTGGTTTCAAAATCGCCGCCCAAGGCTCCCATGAACAGACATCGAACCCTGAATGCTCCAATACGAAAGCCGACCATTTCCCAGGGCGGGCTTTTCATTGGTCGGTTTTGAAAAACCCGGGGCCTTGCGAGGGCCCCCAGATGCCGAAAACAGCAACAAAAACTCAGGTATGGTACAATCATCGTGCTGCATAAAGTGAAAACGTCTTGTAGGGACGGGTCGCAAGGACGCAAGACCCTTGGACGCCGAAGTTGGGAGTCGTTGGGCGGCGGGCGAAGTTGGGATGTGCTGGGGTTTGTCGGGGCCCAAAGGCAGAATAACGCAAGTACACAAGGGTACCCTAGAAAAGGCGCGCGTACTTACTATGCGCGTTGACTGTAAGGTTAGGTCGGGCATGTCCCCCTACAGGCGGGTTTTTGGGCGGAAAAAAAACAAAGAGCAGACCAGACATACGTGAGAAGAGCAGAAACATAACTGAAAGCACGCCCCATGCTGTTGTTTTTTTTTTTAAACTGGTTTGGAAGATTCCTCCTGCAGAGGGACGTGCGAAAAATCAAAGAGTAGACCAAACATACGTGAAGAGAGCCGAAACAGACTCGAAAGCACGCCCCATACTGCTCTGTTTTTTTAAACTGTTTTGGAGTATTCCTCCTGCAGAGGGACGTGCCCGACTCGGGAGCGCCGAGCAAAAAGAAAAATGTGCTTCTCTGCCGAAGGCGAGCAGTTTCGCAGATCGCAGCCCCGCACAGGGATGACCAGGCAGGAGGCAAGCTGACACGCGGCGACGAGCAAGGTGAGATGCGGGGGGGAAGAGGAAACGAGGAACGAGGCGGGAAGGAGGAGGAGAAGGAGGAGACGCGACCGCACTGCTCTACTCAAAACGAGAACCCAACGCAGGAGGGTTGGGAAATGTGCTTCTCCGTCCACGGCGAGCCACGGCCACGACCGAGGGTCCCCGGCGTTCTCCCGCGGAGCCGCGGGCCGAACACGGGAGCCCCTCCGGAAGCCACAGGGGTCCTGAGGAGGAGGAGGAGGAGGAGGAGGAGGAGGAGGGGGAGGGGGAGGAGGAGGAGGAGGAGGAGGAGGAGGAGGAGGAGAGGAGGAGGGGGGGGGGGGAGGAGGAGGAGGAGGAGGGGTCCTGATCTCGGCGTCTTCGCCGTAAGATGTGCTTCTCTGTCGACGGCGAGCCACGGCCACGACCGAGGGTCCCGGGCGTTCTCCAGCGGAGCCGCGGGCCGCACACGGGAGCCCCTCCGGAAGCCACAGGGGTCCTGAGGAGGAGGAGGAGGAGGAGGAGGAGGAGGAGGAGGAGGAGGACGAGGGGGAGGGGGAGGAGGAGGAGGAGGAGGAGGAGGAGGAAGAGGAGGAGGAGGAGGAGGAGGAGGAGGAGGGGTCCTGATCTCGGCGTCTTCGCCGTAAGATGTTTTCGGCACGAGGGTGACCAAACATCTGCGACCAAGCTGTCGCCTCGATTCCAAACCACCCCAACCCAACCCGAAGACCCGAATTTCGGCTTGGGGGGGGGGGGGGGGTACGGGTTTCATATGTGTTTTTGTTCAGTGTTCCCCGACACCCCACCCCCACCCCCACTGGAAACGGAGGGCAAATCGGGGCCTTCCGGTTGGGTTGGGGTGGTTTGGTGGGCGGTGAGATTCTCCATGAGCCACACGCGCCCCAAAGCCCCAGGCAAGAGTGACCTCTGGTTTGCAGCTGTACGGGGTCAGGGAGGAGGGCGGCGGGGCAAACTCAAGCGCGCAAGCCGCTGCTATCATCGCATTGCGTTCGGCGATCGGAGGACCCCATCGGGGCCCACACCAACGACGAAGCAGGGCGAATTGGGAGAACGGCAGCTCAAAATCGGCCCCGGAGGTCCAAGCTGCATCCAGCCGTGGCGACGAGGGCCGCCCCCCCGAAGGTCAACCGCTGCCGCAGCTCGCTCTCCTCTGAAAAGGTCGCTGTGGCGAAGGGTCACCCTTTGTGCAGTCGACCCGAGGCGCCCGATACGCACGATCCTGGATCCTCGATTCTCTTCTTCCTCCTCCTCCTTGACATTGGATTTCCTCCTCATCCTAGATCCTCGATCCTCCTATTCGATCCTCGGTCCTGTTGGATTCCCCCTCACCCTCCGTCTGCTCCTCCGCGTGCGCAGGAGGCCATGTGGCAGGTGGGACGCAAGTTTTCAGCTACACTCAACACCCTGCAAGTTGGATTTTTGGGACGGCCCAGAAAGCAACTGGTAAGGACCGAGGTCGGCTAATCGTGAGCGGACTGACGATCGTTGAGTCCGCTCGAATCCACTCTAATCTTGGCGGCGCGCATAGGGGGTGGAGGGAGGGGGGAAGGCTTCGCAGAAAGAGTCTGCTTTATGGCAGGCGCTGGCCCTACATCTATCAATGAGGCCCCGCCCCTTTTGAGAGGCAGGGGTGCTCCTAAGAAACCCTCCCCCCTCCCCCTGCCGCCCTCTGCGCGTGGCTGATCGTGCCCCCTCCTCTCCCTCGACCCACGATTTGAGCAGGGACCGACCGTTCCCGCATTCCTATTGGCCTACCACGACATGTTCTTAGAACCCCAAAACGATCCAAGAACAAAAGCAAGGTTCTTAGAACCCAAACTCGATGTTTCAAGACGAGGCAGTCTCGGCCAGAAATGTTCCAAGAACCTTCCGCGCAGACCACACAAGGTCCGTAGAACAGTCTTTGGTGGGCCTCTATGCGGAAACCAAACGGCACTGATACCGCTACCCCCCGGACCTCTCACGGGGTGCGCTCTGTCCAGGATTTCGACGCGGATCTCGCGGTGACAACGAGAGCTCCCCAGGCCGCCGACAAAAGGGAAAACGGGCGAAGTGCAGCGGTAATTATCAATACCTTTTCCTCCTCCGACTATAGGCGAGCCGAGACGCTTCGCCACTGCCTGCACGATCGGGGCGAGATGAGTATCGTTTAACCGATCCCCATCCCCAGCGGCGCGGCCTGGGCCCCGCTGGCCGATTTACCCCCCTAGATGGGGATATAGGCCGTATCCTTCGAGTTTCGAGGGGTGTATCCCCAACTCAGGTGGTAATTTGGTGGGGGTCTCGAAGGGGATGGGGACGGGGATGGGGATTGGTTAAACGATACTGACGAGAGCGCGCTCGCGCACGGGCGGCGCGGGCCACCGCCGGGCTGCCCAGCACCGGGCTCAGCAGCCCGACGAGCTCGCGCTGGAAGGCCGGGCGCGCCAGGTGGAACTCCCGCGAGGCGCTGCAGGCGTACCTCGCGGCCGGCCGCGGTCCTCGTCAGCGCCGTCGTCGTCGTCGTCGACGTCGTCGTCGTCGTCGTCGTCGTCGACGTCGTCGTCGTCGTCGTCGACGTCGTCGTCGTCGTCGTCGTCGTCGTCGTCGTCGTCGTCGTCGTCGTCGTCGTCGTCGTCGTCGTCGTCGTCGTCGTCGCGGCGGCGGCGGCGGCGTCGTCGTCGTCGTCGTCGTCGTCGTCGTCGTCGTCGTCGTCGACGTCGTCGTCGTCGTCGTCGAGGGTCGACGGTCGGCGCCGCCGTCGTCGTCTCCGTCGACGGCCGTCGGCGGCACTGCGGGCGCACCTCGCGGCCGGCCAGCCGTCCTCGCCGTCGTTTTCGTCTTCGTCTTCGCCGTCTTCTTCGCCGTCGGCGTCGTCGGCGTCGGCGTCGTCTTCGCCGGCGTCCACTTCGACGGTCGCCCTCGTCGTCGCCGTCTGCGGTCTTCGGTCGACGTCGTCGTCGTTGTCGGCGACGTCGTTGTCGCCGAGGGTAGTAATTCAACGACGAGCTAAGTGCTTGGGCGCTTCTGGAAGTCAGCGTCGCCTCCTGAGCGCCTGCTCTGCTTTCTTACTATTCTTATACTTCTTTCACGAATCGCAAGAAACCTCGGTTTCCGTTTTTGCCTATCAGCTTTCCTGCGCCAGAAGAGCTGCAAACTCACGCGATGCTTCGTCAAAGGCTATTGCTTCTGCTCGGAAAACAGTGCACAGCAATTCGGTGTAGATCCCATGCAAAACCAACGGCTCAAACGTCCACCCCTCCAGCGCTTGCCCCCAAAAGCCGATGATCAACGCCGCCGCTGCGCAGTCGTCCTCCTGGAGCCCACCGTCTATCTGGATGATCACGTTGGACCGGTCCAGCGTGAGGGCGCTTGTTTCGTAACGCGTCTCCCATGTCTTCCGACTGTCCATGGTGAGGCCGGCTAGCCAGTCTGCGACGCGGTTGTGGCATCGCCGCCACCATTCGACAGCGTTTTCGCGCAACTGGGGCGGACGCCACCCAGGACGTTATTGCGCGTTTGCGCGCGACGCCTCGACGACCGCTGCAACCAGTACGACGCCAACGCACACGAGGCGCGACGGTGCGAACCCATGCAAGTTTGAAAAAAATAAATCAAGGTCCCAGGACAATTCCTCAATCGACTTGTCTGGGTGGGAGGTATGTCCGGGCCCGAACCCTCTGCCCATGTGCGAAATAATCCGGTCCAGCGCCCGAGATATCAGAGGGTCGCAGGCCCCGTCGTGGAGAATCGCCCGCCCGAGCACCATCTGCTGTGAGGATTCGGAGCCTGCCGCGGCGAGAAGATGTCTGCACGGCGATGCCCAGCATATTTTGGATGCCAATGTATAGGGCGACGAGATCTATACATATCCACTGCTCCTGGCCAGGCCCATCCTGGGCCCCGGAGCTGTGTATATGCCTCCCTGGCCAGGCCAGGAGGGCGTATACACCGCTCCTGGGCCCAGGATGGGCCTGGCCAGGAGCAGTGGATATGCATAGATCTCGTCGCCCTAAATGTATCTTGGAGCTCGTCCACCTCGGGCTCCTAACTTGGGAACTTGAGGCACTATTTCGCCTGCCCGTGGCCTGTCCGGCTTCGTTTTGCCAGGGGCTGCCTTGGGATTGCTTTCTCGCCCCCTCGCAGATCGCACGCGGGCAGTTGCCACCGCGCGCAAACGCGTGCCACGAAGGTTCTGCCCCGGCGTTCCCAGTCCACGCCAATCTACGCCGAAATACTCCACGAGAGGATCCCCCCATGCTGCTCTGAGCCCGCAGGATCGCTGTACAAGTCTGTCCACCCGTCTTGGCTTGCAAGGTGCCCCCCGCGCCAACATCCACGCGTCGCGCGCGTTGTGGGAACGGGCCCTCCTGTCAATAGTGGAAGCACCTGTTCCAGCGCCCTGCTCGCGAAAAACTTCGGCGACAAAAACTCTCCAGGACGGCCGCGTGGAAAAACTCGTGCTGATGATTGGCAATGTTTTGCTTGATCCAGGCAGCCGTTCGACATATGTCCCGCGCGATCCTCGCCCGGCTTCCGACGTATACGCAATGCTCGCCTTCCGACGTATTTGCAATGCTCCCAGGTCAAAATCTTGCGAAGGAGACCCCTTGTCAAGCGCCACGCGCGAGCACCCTGCAACGCCGATGATCGGGGTCCCCCGCGCCAGGCGTTGAGTTGATCCTCCGCAGTGCCAGGAGCTCCGAAGTCCTGTGCCTTGGCCCAAAAATTGCTTTCTGTATTTCCCGATCTGCAGTCGATGCTGGTGGCCGCGCTGCCATGATTATCGATCAGCTCACCCAGGGCCAGCATGCGGCCCAGTGCCGTGGAAGTCACGATGCCTTACCTTCCCCTGCGTGCAACATTGTCCAAGGTGTCGGCGACGGCGCCCCCCCTCCCATGACTTGCAATGAAGACTCTTTCCAGAGCTGAACCCCCAGCGTAAATCGCAGCCGTAGTCTCTGCGATCATGGCTTCCAAGGTTTCCCGGGAGTCTGCCAACAGCCACATGTTGTCGCGCCAAATAATATTAGAAACAAGGCTTCCCTGAAGCAGCGAGCACCCCCAGCCACGCCGAGCCCGCGCTTGACTTGTATCTCGGAGGAGGTACTCCGCAACCGAGTTGAACAGATCTGGGGCGCCATTCCCGCCCTGTTTCCCTCCTTTGGTAAAAGGGAATGGGTCTGTCACTTCGCAGCCCTGTATGTTGATGTGCGCCTGGAGCTCGCTGAGCTCACGGAAAACGCTGCGGATGGTTAGTTAATGGATTCCTCTTTGACGCATTGTTCGTTCAAGTATGCCGTGCCTGACATCGTCGAAGGCGGTCTTGGTGTCTAGAGCTGCTAAATATACCGATGAATATTGAAACGTCCATGCCGTATGAAATACTTGACTGATGACGCCTGTAATGTCCGTGGCCCGCCTGCCCGGCTAGAACCCGTAAGTCTCCACGCCGCTCGGTCGAACTTGTTGTCTGAATTGCTGCCGCACTGCGTATTGGTACCATTTGAGGCTAAGTGTTACTCTTGCTATCCACTTCAAGCTTTTGTCCAAAGTAAAAGGGCCCCTGGAGTCTGGTTCGGGGATGCCCGCGCACCCCATCAGTGCCCACGCAGCGGGGCACTCATGTTCGAAGGAATCCGATCTGCATTGGGAACTCGACCAATCAAGTAAGTAAACGATGAATGGCAACTCGGGGTAAATTTCTGGAGTTGTGCCGTCCATTCCGCCGGCAGTTCCTGTAGAGAGTGCGGCGCGGGCTTGAAGCACGGCGCGGAGGCTCATCGGCGCATGCCGTATGCCATCCAAGACCTGGTTCTTTCCCTCGCTGTGAAGACGTTGCAACCTCTCGTTCTGCGACGCGTAAGCGTTCTCCTCATCAAGGAATATGGCACTCCCGAATTCCACGGCTTCGTCTCTGATGCGGCTCCAGTCCAAAATCCCCCCGGCCTCCGTGAACACCGACACTGGCAGAACTGCTTGCTTTGATTGTCTCCGAGCCTGGACCTTGAGCTGACTACCTACCAGACCACCCCAACCCAACCCGAAGACCCGAATTTCGGGTTGGGGGGGGTAAGGGTTCCACATGTGTTTTTTCGACGTTCCCAGACCCCCCCCAACTGGAAATGGAGGGCAAATTGAGGCCTTCGGGTTGGGTTGGGGTGGTTTGGTGGGTGGTGATGAGCAGCCTGCGGGCGGTGCTCAAAGAACGCTCTCCACGCCTCGGCCTCCTCATGGTTCGAATTAGCTCTCTGCGTCGCTCCCCTGTCTGCGCGCCTATCGCACGGCGAGCTGTCCGAACCGTGGCCCTGCGCGCCTCGCTCCTGATCCGGCTGGCTGCTACGGCATGCGGAGTCGTCCGCGCGAGCGCGTGGAGGGACGCACCAAAATCCGCAAAACTCAAACCTTACTGTTAGGGGGAAAACAAACCTACCCCGCTTTTGACCACCCTCGCTTCCAAGAGGTACCAAGCGATGCCAAAGTACGGCCTGTACTGGTCAGGCCGCTTGAGGGGGAGGCGCGTGGTATGACTTGGTTTTTCCTGGGAGCGAAAGCGGGGTAGGTAATTCACGCTCTGAATTGTTCAAGTTCGCAGGCACGCCGATGAAAGTCTCGTTTTGCGTCTGAGTCGACAGGGGCCCATCCCTCGAGAGAGGATTGGCCGTTCCACGGCTGGTGCACCACGGCTAGGGGTCCGGAAAACGGCACGAGCCTATGATCGGTATGTGGTTCGAGTTGTCAGGCACAATGCCCGTTTCTTCCAGCCGTGGCCCCAAGTGTACTCTGCCGTGCTGGTGAAGACGTTCAGCGCTCGAAGCCCATGATAACGTGGACAAGCAAGGACTGGTGTACACTTCCTCTGATCACGTATGCGTTGGCTGCGGAAGACTGCGGTGCCGGTCAGATCCTCAAAAAAAGCTGGGCACTGCATGTTAATATACGAACCTGCGACGATGTGGAACCACTTATCGGGCCACCGTGAACATGTACCCAAAAAGATATTGCGACATACCCCCAAAGCATGTTTGTGCTCGCCCTTCCTCTGTGTTATGGTCAAGAATGTGCGAATTTAGGCAGATTGCGTCATTGGTCACAAAGGCGCCCCAATAGTCATGAAAACGATATGTCCTGACATCGGGTGAAAAAAGTCTAGCCACAATGATGCTACAGTCACTCCCCACGTCCCCAAAGACTAGAACAACGGGACAAGTCAGTTCTGTTGCTCAATATGCTGGAGGTCTGGGCTCCAAGGGTTGAAAACGCGATCCCCTGACCTCTCCTGGGATGAGCTCTGGCCAGAATTTCGAGCGAACCCAGCCGTTGCGACGAGGGGTCCCAAGAAAGGCAAAAAGCGTTCAAAGCCTGCGCTCAAAGCCTCAATCCCCGACCTGCCAACCTCAAACGTCATCGCCCCCCATGACAAAACGCCCCGAACCTCGATCATCCTCCTCCTCCTCGTCCTCCTCCTCCTCCTCCTCCTCC